AGCAAAGTCCACATCTAGAAAATAAGAGTTTATAGCCAGTAATACTATACTGGCTACCTACCAGTGTCTGGCTGTAGTAAAGTTATTTAACTAGGGAAGTTAAAATCTGCAAGGTGAAGATACTTTACTGCAAAAGCATTTTGATCTATCTTTTTTTGTGTTTGCAGCACATTTCACCCATTTTGTTTGACCAATGGATCCATTGTAAGTAGCTACCTATCCAGATAGCCACCGGTCAATAAATGTCGTTCATTGTTGACACATATTGATGAGCTCGAATTTGCATTGAATTCATGACGTGTTGTACAATGTTTCAAATTTTAGAACTTCCAGGATGAGAGTGTTGACTCTGATCCTGGATTGCTAATGTTATACTTCAGAACGCAGCATATCCGGTCAACGAGGACCGGGGTAGACTGGGCGTCCAAAAGGCGGAGCTACACTGCCCTCCATAATTATTGGCACCCCTGGTTAAGATGTGTTCTTTAGCTTCTAATAAATTCACTTTTTTTCTAAATAATATAGGACCACAATGAAAAAAAGAGGAAAATCCAACCTTTAATTCAAGTGCATTTATTCAGTGGGAAAAAAATCCCACATTTAGAAATAATTCTTTTTACATCAAATCATGTGTGCCACAATTATTAGCACCCCTGATGTTAATACTTTGTACAACCCCTTTTGCCAACAAAACAGCACCTAATCTTCTCCTATAATGTTTCACAAGATGGGAGAATACAGAAGGAGGGATCTTCGACCATTCCTCTTGCACAATCTCTCTAAATCATCCAGCGACCTGGGTCCTCTCCTCTGCACTCTCCTCTTCAGCTCACTCCACAGGTTTTCAATGGGGTTGAGGTCTGGGGACTGAGATGGCCATGGAGGAGCTTGATTCTGTGTCTGGTGAACCATTTCTGTGCAGATTTGGCCACATGTTTAGGGTCATTATCTTGCTGAAAGACCCAGTCACGACCCGTCTTCAGCTTTCGGGCAGAGGCCACCAGATTTTGATTTAAAATGTCCTGGTATTTCAAAGCGTTCATGATGCCATGCACCCTAACAAGGTTCCCAGGGCCTCTGGAAGAGAAACAGGCCCACAGCATCACCGATCCTCCCCCATACTTAACAGTGGGCATGAGGTGCTTTTCTGCATACTCATCTTTTGTGTTCCGCCAGACCCACTTAGAGTGTTTGTTGCCAAAAAGCTCTATCTTGGTCTCATCTGACCAAAGCACACGGTCCCAATTGAAGTCCCAGTACCGCTTTTAGCGAACTCCAGACGCTTATGTTTATGATTGTGAGTGAGAAAAGGTTTTTTCCGTGCATGCCTCCCAAACAGCTTGTTGGCATGTAGATAGCGCCTGATGGTTGTTTTGGAGACTTTGTTACCCTAAGATGCTACCATTTGTTGCAATTCTTTAACAGTGAGCTTTGGAGAACTTTTTATTATTCTTACCATCCTCCTCACTGTGCGTGGTAGCAAAATAACCTTGCGTCCTCGTCCAGGCTTGTTTACCACTGTTCCAGTTGTTTTAAACTTCTTAATAATTCCTCTGACAGTAGATATGGGCAGGTGCAGGCGAGTGGCTATTTTCTTGTAGCCATTGCCTGACTTGTGAAGGTCGACACACATCTGCCTTACTTGAATGGTGTGTTCCTTTGTCTTTCCCATGTTGAAGAGTGGATAAGAGAAATGGCCTCTGTGTCACGTCATATTTATACCCCAGGGAAACAGGAAGTGATGAATTACTAATTAAATGTTCCTAGATACTCTGATCAACTTTGTAAACTACTGTAGAAATGACAGAAATACTTCAATTACATTTATTTCCTAGGAATTGTTAGGGGTGCCAATAATTGTAGAACAGGTGATTTTATGAAAAATAATAATTTCTTAGTCAGGGATTTTTCTTTTCCCTTAAAATTCACTTGAGTTGAAGGTTAAATTTTTCTACAATTTTCAGTGTGAGAGTATGCTTCTACAATAAAAATTGAATTTATTTTAAGGCTTTTAACACATCTTAACCAGGGGTGCCAATAATTATTGAGGGCGCTGTGTCCAGCCAAATTATTTTTGGTTCTAGTCTTTTCATTTTTCATCATTCTTTTCTTGCTGTGTTTAGCAGTGCAAGATGTTTTTGGTAAAGGTAGGGCAGCAAATTTTGGCAGCATTCTCTGCCATTCTGGTACAACTAGCTGCTTTACCAATGTCATGTCGACCTGCCTAACACTCCAGGCATGAGCAATGAGTGCATGGGCATGGTGCACACAGGTGGTTTGGTGCAGAGATAGACAGGCGGGACGGCCGTCTAATCAATGATTGGACTGGCTTACCGTATTACAGGATTACAGGATATTCTTCTTTCTTTTGTCAAACCAATTCATTTACTGATTTCTGTTGGGCTGTTCAGAGAATTTCAACAAATGCAGCCAAAAATGTTTTGAAAATATCTTGCCTACCCTGCCTTTTGCTATGTTTTTAATTCTCTTCAGTGTCATTTAGTTCATTTCTGGGTTAATATGTGAAATCACCTGGGTTATGAACGCTGTCACTATCATTTAAAAAATTCAAAGAATTGAAGATTGAGCTAAATAATGTATTAAAGCAGTATAGTCTAATTTGAAAGAGTCCTATTTTTGAAAACGTTTTTTACGGCATTAAAATTGCAAAAAGTGATAATTACGATAATTGCACCTCATTTGAAGACCAACCTGCCCAATAGGTACATGGATTCTGTTTTGTTACTAATTTAAGTATTAAATGTCTAAATCCTGCAGATTAAAGTAAATTCAGAAGGCTGTACTGAATTTAAAATTTGCAGGCATGGTTGCCTGGCTGGTTTTCCTTCTGATAAAATGGATTCCAGTGCAGTAGTACAGACAACAGCAGTCTGGTATTGAATCTGGACTCTGCCACTGCAGATTGATAGGCAGCCCAGCATATCAGCTAGCTAGGTTTCTGATGCCCCATAACCCCTAGGGTAAATTCTCTCGCCAAATGGAAGACTGCAGTTTCTATCAAACAAACAGTGAGGTGACAATGTAAGTGAGACGCAGTCTGGTGCCTGAAAAGTGAATTTTTTCAGCAAATGAGATTGTTAGCAGGGCAGTATGATGGTGCAGTGGGCTACACTGTTGCCTCACAGCAAGATGGTTGTTGGTTCGAATGTGCTCTGGAGTTTGTATGTTCTCCCTATGTTCACATGGGTTTCCGTGGTTTCTCCATTTTACTCCCTCAGCCTAAAGCAGGCATTCTGGTTATTGGAGACTCTAAATTGCCCGTGTGTGTGAGTGAATGGCGTGTGGGCCCTGTGATAGACTGGTAAGCTGTCAAGGGTGTTTTCCTGCCTTCCAACTATTGTCAGCTAGGATAGGTTTCAGCTGAAATGCAACCCTGATGAGGAAGAATCAGTTCAAATAGTGTCTGGATGGATGGATGGATGGATGGATGGATGGATGGATGGATGGAGAATAAAGCCAGGCAATGTCTTGGTAAAACCTGAACTGTACTGGTGTTAACCTTTTCTGTTTATGTCAGATCATCTCACAGCTTTAATTTCTTGATGGGACAGTGTTGATAATTTTATTCTGAAGTTCCATCATCTACTGCTGGGAATTTAGTTAAATGGAATTAAAATCTTGAAAGAAGATTCTAAAGCTCCTGTGAATAGAATTCTCATTTTCAAATGATTAATTATGTCTCGCACTGCACGATACTTTGGCCCTTTTGAGCTTAACACATAGATGACTGCATTGTGAAACAGCCACACACTTGCAGGCCTATTCAACCTTATCCAGAAAGGGCCGTTGTGGGGCTTTCATTCCAACCAAGTACTTAATCACCCGACACCACATTTCAACTTCAAGATTCTTTGCCAAAGAACTTGATTAGTAGTATCAGCTGTGTAAGTGCTAGGTTGAAACAAAAGCCTGCGCCCACACCAGCCCTGGCAGGATAATGTTGAATATCCCTGCGCTACTGTATATCTGAGTGGGAAGACCCTCAGTGTGTGCAACAATGATATTCAGAGGAAATATGAATTTCAAAAATACGGAATAATAGCTCGCAGTGCAGGCCACATGAGAAATTTAAAAAACCACTTGAGATCATGGTGCCAATGCGAGTGAAGAAAAAACACTGAATGTCGCGGTGTTAAAACTGTCCATTCTTTTCTAAAAGTGAGTGCTTTCAGCGAGGAATGAAATCACAAATTAAATTAAAGGATGCAGCAAAGATGTACTATCAGGTAATGCTTAGTGGCCATATTGTATATCAAACTAATAAAAGCTAAATTATAATTTCCCAACAAGCCAAAAAGAAATAGTGTGATTACCGTGAGTTATAAAAGCCTGATTTGTGATCTTGTGACTACTGAGATAAGACCTCCTCTGAAAAAATTAGCTTTCCACAAGAACAATATCTGGGATTAGGCGCTACATTAAATAAATATGTTTAAAAATATACCTCATTGGGAGGCTTATGCCTACATATTGTACCTGGGGCAAAATATATCCTGCTGATGGCTGTGTGATTGCATGTTTCACCATTTCATGCCTGATTGAGAACAGGTCAAGCAAAATATGCTTTTTCATTTTTATTGAATTGAACTACTCATGTCACAAAACAAAAATGGAAACAAGAAAACAATGATTAATGCATTGCATGTAAGCCTAAAAGGAATGATTGCATCACAAGTTGTTTGGCTAAATGCTGTAAATTATTGTGGCCTCACTTGCTTAAGTTGATCATTTAATTAGATTTAGATAAACTTTATTGAACCCCATGGGAATTTGTCCTCTGCATTTAACCCATCCTGTTGGTAGGAGCAGTGGGCAGTCATAGAGCAGCACCCCTGGACCAACTCCAGTTCTAAAGCCAGTTCCTTGACCAGTGGCACTGGTAGGAGTGTTCCTGTAGCTCATGTTTTTCTGGATGGGAGAAACTGGAGGAAACCCACACAAACACGGGGAGAACATGCAAACTCCATGCAGGGAGGCCATGGCTGGCCTGGGCTTGAACCTAGAACCTACATATTGTGGGGCAGCAGCACTAACCACTGTGCCGCCATGCCAACATTTGTATATCCTCAATTCCCTATAAAATAATGACACATCCAAAGTTTAACATTCAGTTTACCATGCACCATGCACATATGCATCACAATCCACACTTTCTGTAATTTGATTATTAATGCACCCAGACATGATATACTGCAAATTGCAGTTCATCTGTATTTATTTAATTCCCCAGTTCTTGGTTCAATTGAACATTTACTACGAGTTCTTGCGCAAAGAAACATCAGGCTTTTATTTCCCATCCCTTCAGCTCTATATTTAGCCACAGGTCTGAGCTGCTGCCAGAAGCTTATTGTTGAAGGAGGCTCTCTTAATTCTGAGGCGAACAGCTGGCTGATTCGTTATCTGCTTTCTCGGCTCCCGTTAAATGGCTTTTGTTAGGAAAAGTTTCATTAAGCCCTGCAATGTGACAAGCACTCAGGGAAAGAAAGTTTTTCTTTTGTGGCTTTGTGCTGCAGAAAACACTGTTAACCTCAGTCCACGGTCAACAAATAAAATCAATACACTGTCTTCAACCAAGCTTCCGCGTCAAGAAATGAAATGACGTGGAAATTGACTGGGCTGACAGCATTGTTGGATTAAATTTCAGGAGATTTGGATCTACGTTAAAATGTTTCCTCTTCATTCATAATCACTTGAAAAAAATACAATTTTAGGTGAAGAAAATTAATTTTATTAATATTTTTATTACCTTGGCTTAATTCATTTATACCTTTACTTTCATGTGCACTTTTTTGCTGGCTGTACTAACAACAATAACACCATTCTTGACACTTTATCCATAAGGTAGCACTGTAATTCGATATCAGTTGTAATTACAGATTTATGGTTTCTCTTGTTGGACCTTTGTACACTTTTGGCGTGTGGCTTTAACGTCAATTGGGTGTGGCCAATGGCCTGCTTCTCCTCTACTTGAGCCTTTTAATTAGGTTGGAGCAGTGAAGCGTAGTTCCTTAGAGAATAAATGCAGGACTGCACACATTCTCTGGCCTCTTGTCCTCTGCAGTATTGGCTCTATGACGGTAACAGAGGGTCAGCCGGGGTTGTGGCTTGCTGTTTCTTTGTTTATTGGTGCTTCGCTAATATTTTATTTATGGAAGTTAGATTGCAGACTTGGAAGAGTTAAGTTCCGGGCTAGTCGTCCTAGTATTGTTGCTGGTGGCCCCATCTATTGCTGAGGCACTTAGCATCCAAGCCTACCCCCCCTTTTTTCCACTACAGACTTGCCAGTTTTAATTTCTGTTTTTTTGGTCTTTTGTTTATGGTCCATTTAATCTTTGTCTTGTCTTCCAAGTCAAATTTTAACTACTTTTCTTTGTATAGTACACTATAGCATGCCAAATTAGCTGAGCATGTGTATGGTTCAGCGTGACTGGTCAATCCACCACACTATCTAAGCTGCAAACAGTGCTGCACAATGATTAGAAAGGCATTGTAATAGAGAGGGCAGACATAACATTTTTCTGATTAGAACCATGTCTTTTGGTCAAATGTGGCCGAAATTATGGATTACAATACTTGGTTAACACCGAATGAATGTTTCTTGTATTGAGAAGAGCCTGTATTTCATAGCGTGTGGTTGGGGGTTTTTGGAGGTTGAAACCTGGTTTGAGGAAGCATTGATGTTATTTTTCATTCATTCAGAAATCACGAAAAAGAAACTGTGAACATTGCAATTTCAAATCAATGCATGAACATAAAATCACTGAATAAGCCTCTAATTTTTTTATCTCCATTCATAAATCTAAGCAGGAAACATCCTGCTCAAATGTATATCAGCCTTAACCAAGACACTGTTACATTTAATAGCTGGTCCTCTTCATTGAATCAGAAGTCTTTACTGAGGGGAAAAACGAAAGATGATCTAAAATGGGCCCTTCTCCTTGGGCAAAGTCCATAGACCTGTGTACAGCAGTTATGCAACTGCCAGGTCACTAAAGTGGTGATGCGAGCTGAAGTGACAGGGTTATTCTGAGTGTTTTTTGTTACTCTGTGACCCGTTGGCAATCAGAATAAGTGCCGATGACAGTGAATATGCGTGTGGTTGTCTGCCTCTCTTCAGCTTGCTCTTTGGTAAATTAAAGACGGAGAGCTGAGACGGAGCATCTGAGGTCTGTTCGGGTGCACGACTTTTCACGGCCCTGCCGCATATAGTGCAATGGGGGATTTGTGTGGGTGTGCGATGACTTCTGCAAAAGAGAGACCTATATTTGTGTCATTTCAAATCCTCTTATTTTTGTAACTTTATGCCACTACAATGGGGAGGGAAACCCAAAAATACGCCAGTGCACTAGCATTCTTGCAGGATAAAGTGCTGCTCCATTGTGTGGGTATGTGTAGCTTTGATGTGTGTCTGACAATGGCTTGTGCCTCCATGTACTGCAATGCCAGATTTTTTGCACACATCCAAAGCAGTGAAACCTACCATTTGTGCGGAAATCATTTTTTATAAGACCTTGTCCTGTGTTTCTGTTTAATTGGTTATTTTGTTAATCTTTTTTTTGGACACTGAGGTCTTTGTAATAAGTCCCCAGGCTTACTTTATTTCTGGACAGCACAATTATTCCATTCATCCATCTATTATCTAACCCATCCATTCCTGCTAAAGGTTATTATGGGGTTGGAGCCTGTTCTGGCATCCATTTCACACACCTTTGACAGTTCACCAATCACAGCACATGTGTGCACAGGCACATTCCCTCATACACACTCATATCTTTTGGCAATTTGAAATCTCCAATTAGCCTACCAAGCCCATCATTTGACTATGGGATGAATGTCCATAGTTTAATCTTCTTGTTTCTAGTCAAGTTGGGAGGTAGCAGCAAAAATTTTTTTGATAAAATGTATTGAAACCAGTCTTTAAGTTGTCATATATTATCAATTATTAAGTTATCATTGTTTTATTCTTATGTTCTTGTGATTAGTGCAAGTGTTCTCTGCCAACAGCACACAGACAGTCTGTGACGGTATAAAAGGAGAGGAATTGAGTTCAATGGGGTCACCAAAACCTAGCACTCATACTGTAAAATGCATCACACTTGTGGTAATTGCGGAATAGTTGTGAATGGCAACACAGGATTGAAAAAAAAATTGATTGAATTATTTATTTTTTGCAGCACAGTCTATCTTTAGAGGTGTAATCAACTATAAATAAACGATCTGTGTTATCTATTCAAGCATGTTAAAAATCATAATCAGCCCAACAGGAGATGATTTTTTTGCCTCCTATTTCACTGCCTTATTACATTAATTTACTTCCCCAAATTAAATCTGCGTTTTGAGCGCAAATGTTCTACATAAACCCTATTTGCACATCACTGAGCAATGCAGTGATTGGATCATCAGAATTTGTGCTTCACTGAGCGTTGTGTTGGCCTTTAATGAAGATCCATGGCCTATCGTCCAGTGGTTTATTGTTTATCTTACCCTTTAGACTGCTTTTGTGCTATTAATTAGTGACATACCATTGGACAGCTGACACCACAAGCCCAATTTTTCTGTTCAAGCATGTTTTATTCATTACAATAAGGTATTGTTATTGTTTTCAGTTTTGTGATGGAAGCTATCATATGCTATATTTTTGCTGCAGTTGTTTTTAAATTAATGATATACGTATATACATCATAAAGTCCGGGCATATTTTTAGGTTGCAAATAATTTTGATCACCGGTTTTTATCTACAACAGTTAAGGCAAAAGGGCACTAATTAGTAACATCTCAACAGAAAATTTTCTTGTCCAGAACCTTTTTCACTCTCTTTAAAAGTGAAGTTATCTCTCAGCCATTGATGCACTGCAAATACTTTTAATAAGAAGGTGTAATGAAGTGGAAAAACACAAAAGGTTCGAAAAAAAAAAATCAGCAGGCATTTTCAATGGATTGAGCTTAAATATCTGAAGGATTTTACTTCTATTTGACTGTTTTTAGCTATTGAGTTCAAGGCACCCTTGATCATAAGTCAAATATTTCCTGGATACATTGCTTCCCCACAAATCTAATATACATGAACGCTAATGTAGCCCAAGCTATTTGCATTTGATATTCCCAATTTTCCAGCATGGGCTAGGTCTGTCGATTTCAGTCAAAGAGTTGTATAATAGCTGCTGTAGTTGTCTAATAATACATCTTGTAGTCTCATACTCAGTTTTAGAAAAGGTTAAGTATGCAAATGAAAGCGAAGATGACATCATATTGTTTCACAGAAAAAAATCCTCATTTCTGTTTTTAATACTCTATTTGTAAATGCATGTGATGAATGAAGCTAATCACAATTTCAGTGAAAAAGGTGATTTTACGATAAATTATTTCCAATATTTACAAAAAGTGTGAAACATTATGGGGGAATGACCTCATCATGTATCGAATGCACTGGAGAAACTGAAGGAACTGACCATTAAATCAGGAAAAACAGCAGTTAATTAAATATATTTTAAAAGCTGACCCAACGTTGTTTTTGTGGTGGCAATTGTGCATGATACCCAAATCCACTCAAACTGAATCCTATTAAAGTCCCATTTTATTTTTTGAAAACATTAACTGAGATTTATCGGTAACTATCGAAGATATCAAAAAGTACACCGATAGGCCATAACTAATGCTGATCCATTTCAAGTTGAAATGAAAGTTTGTGGCTGAAAGTATGAAATATTGAGAGATCCAAAATGGCTGGGTTTGAGCTTTCTGCCTGTAGACCGTCAGAGTAAAAAAAAAAAAAAAGTTGAAAAAGTGAAGTATTTTAAAAAATATGAAAAGTTTAATTGTACAAATAATAAAACGGTAAACCCACCAGGGACACCAACAATCTCTGCCACCTTCCTCCATGCGCTGCTCTTTTGTCATTGTCCCTGTAATTTGGCAGATAACCCTCAATAAAATCAGAAAATACGAAACAGAAATAATCACCTGCTCCACCATACATTTTATAGGGAACTTGGGATAAGTGGAACCAAAATTTCCCAGGCTATGTGGGCTTGTAGACAACATACACACTGGT